TCGTCGACGACCGAGTCCTTTCCAATCGGCTCGATTCACTGGCGCTGCAAAGAGATGTTGCATCTCTTTGTATTTTCTTTCGCATCTACCAAGGGGAGTGCTCTGACAAATTGTTCGGATTAATCTCAGCCGCACGATTTCACGAACGCACAAAACGAAACTTCCGATACCATCCACACCATCGGATGCTTGGTGGTAGACCACCAACGTATAGTGGTAGACCACTGTACGTTTCACTATGATTTTTCTTCTGTGTACAACCTTTCTGTGGAATAGTTTATCACCGGGGATTTTTCCGGACCGATACGACTTAGGGACCTTCATGAAAAGAGTTAGTCTTTCCTAAAAGGCCGGCAACGCACCTGTAATTCCCCTGGTGTTGTAGTTGCTTATAGGCGGCCTTAATCACTTACCATTAGGTGAGCCGCGTGCTCGTTTGCCTCCTCTCATATAAAAAAAGTTTTAAGAATGTAACAAAAAATACAGACACGCTTTTGCATTTACTATTTTGGTACCTCTTGATACATAAGAGCGTTTGCATATCAAAATAGCCGTATAGTGAGCTTGTGCATGTTAGAAGGGCCCAGATTAAGAGTACCTTTAAGCGACAAGCATATCTGCGTAGATATATGAATATAAAGGAGGCGAGAGAGGTGTGTCAGGATCGTGTCAAATGGAATTGAGTGTAAGTGTTTATGTATATGTATTATTATTATGACTGATCAATGAGGCAGTCGTTGGTTAGTGGTCGCTAACACGATTGCTGATCATGAGGTCCCAGTTTTGAATCCCGGGTTGAGCTAAAATCAGTTACTGGGTTTTCCTCTAAAGAAATTTCCAGTAGCAGCCCGGCGTCAAGAAGTTGGTGGTATTTCACCCCCGTGCCTTGGAAAGCACGTAAAGCCGTTGATCCTGCGCCTGATCTCTTTCCGGTCGTGTCGGATTACCGTCTCAACCGACTATGAGAGTGAGGGAAAAGAGAATGCACCTGTGAGAAACGGTTTGGAGGGCATTATTATTATTACTATGTACAGATGTGTGGGTTGCGGCGGTGCGGGTGGGGCGAGCGCGCAGTTCGTGTGCGGCTCGGACAACCGCACGTACTCGTCGCTGTGCCGCCTCGACCTGCACAACTGCGTGCGGCGCCAGGCGCCGCCCGTGCGCCTCGCCTGCCGCGGCTTCTGTCCGTGCCGCGCGCCGCACGCCGCACCGCACGCCGCCAGGCGCCTCCGGGATGTGAGTACTTGCAAGCTATGCGTTTGACTGCACCGATGCAGGTAGCCGTACCAATTATCATACGGAACCTACAGTTCGTATGACATAATACTCACTAAAACTTCTCTACAAGTCAGAAAAAAATCCTGTAGTGGAGTATCAGAAATACTTATGATGTTACCCAAACAGAGATGAAACGCGACAGTAATAACGTGCTTTGTTTGCATGAATTGTAAGTGTCACCAAATGTCACTAATGTTATAAAAATAATTTAAGTTATGTTAGCTTTCATATTTAAATTCTTATACACACGAATCTTTTTAATTATATCAGTCCACGTTTAAATACATACTGGGTATCTTGATCAGACGTATCGTATCAAATACTTGTATATTAAGTATGGATGTTCACTTTCGCCATATTGGCATATTATTCTCATACGTGGACCTTACAATTTTCCTTTGATCCTCCTAAATTTTCCACTTTAAAACTTTTCAAGACCGTATATCGTTAACCTGTTATGAACGGGTAAAACAGATTAGAGTTGGAACGCGCCATAAGTAACTAATAATTATCAAATCGATTCGACATATCGTGATGCAGTATCAAAATACGTCCATACCATGTCACGATCACGTCTCTATGAACAAAGTTAGCAACCATAACTGTAAGTAGGTTGCCGCAAGCCACATCATGTATGTAGGTACCTACCATAGGCCATAGTGAAACTTTATTTACTGTGAGAGATCGTTGAAACCTATTTCAAAAGTATCGTTTTGTTTTTAATAGACACCTTGTTTGTGCAAGCTTGTCCTTTTACCAACTACATTTTGATAATTCGTTATAATAAAATTGAGTAGTAGTTAGGTAGTAGTTTCCCTCTATCGTCTCTTACGCCAACCACGGGACGATATGGGGTGGTGCATACAGGCGCAAACTTTTGTGTCATAGTTATAAATGCAGGAGTTGAGAAATCTAAAATGAACTTACACTGAAAAGAGCAGGTAGTGTTTGCATTACAGTCTTTACAACACTTTTGCAAATTCACAACAAGAGCGTATGCATTACATAACACACAAAAGCTCCCCAGTCACTCGACGTACGGAGCTCGCGAGCACTGGGGTTGAACGGGTGCATTCCAGCTCGTTTCGTGCATTGAAATATTTGCGAGTAGTTCGCCTTTTACAGTTCACACTTTCATTTTCCGGGTCACCTAGTTAGACGAGGGGTTTTGAGTATTCACCAGGCATACTGCATGCGAATATTTATGTACTTTAAATATTATTCTTTTTATAAAAGATAAATAACTTACGTACATAGTACACAGTGTACCCGACGATAAGAAGTTCATGGGTGTCCATGAACGCCGCTAACTTCAAACAAAGAAGGCGCAGCTGCAGACGCGTCGTCACCTCGGAAGGCTACGAATGTCCTCTGAGGAACGTCTCACAGCCGGTTATTGTACTGGCTCTGTACACTCTTCTGGTCGAAGCACAGCGTTGCGCGAACTACTTTGTTCCAGTCTGAAGGTTCAATACGTTTAATGCCTGGTTATATTATGCTGCGGCTTATATTATGATTGTAGCATGAATGGATCGGGTCGGCTTGGTTGGCCTCCGCTCTCACAAAATATACATGGTAGAGCCATGCTGCAGCTATATTAGTAGTATAGTTGTAGCACAATGGGTCGGCTCGACCGGGGAAGGACCACGCTCTCACAGAAAAACAGCGTAAAATGGCAACTTAACACTGCTGTGTTTCGTATGGTGAGTATAGAGAACTGGAGACCCATTTTACTGGAAAAGAGGCATTCCATCTTAGTCCTCACGGGTGACGATGCATTTGCATTTTGATTCTTTATTGAGGATAAATGTGGATGAATATGGGTCACAGCAACCACTTACCATCAGGTGGACTGTGTGCTCGTTTGTCACCCTATCCTATAAAAAAACAGCGTAAAATAGCGGCTCAATGTTGCGTGTTTGCAATGTGTTTCTCATGGTGAGTGTTGACAACCGGAGACCTTTTTAACTGGAAATGAGGCATTCCATCTTAGTTCTCAGGGGTGACAACGAATTTGCATTTTGATCCTTAATCGAGGAAACTTGTAGATGTCTATGGGCCACAGCATCCTTACCAACTTACGTACTTGTTTGTCACCCTTATCTTCTATGTTGTATTATCTATTACTATAATAAAAGTCTAACACGACGTCTGTCTAAACACGTATCACGCAAAAACCTGTGGACCGATTTGTATGGGACTTTCACTAGCAGATAGCTGATGTTTTAAGGAGTAATTTAGGTTACTTCTATTTTAGGAAAAGAAATATGGTTCCGCGCAAAAAAAAATTAAGATCCATGAAATCCAATCAAATTCCAAAAATATTCCACGCGGGCGAAGTCGTGGGGAACAGCTGTACTATAATATAAAAAATAACATAACCTATATGCATATGTAAGTGAGAATACACGAGACAAGGAATGGGTTAAAAGAGAAGGCTGATACCCCTGAAATTCATGAACATCCTGAAATTCGTCAACAATTTTTTTATAGAATAGGAGTGATATCCCTTAAGAGATTATCTATAGAGGATAGTAAGACAATATAGGCCATATTGTCTTACTATCAAGTAGACTGTGTGCTCGTTTGTCATCCTGAAACTATAAAGAAAAATGTTGGTTGTTTTAGATGTACATATAAAGTTTCTAGATGTGTAGTATTTCAGTAGCGAGCAGTAAGGCAGCAGCCAGTAACTGTGTGTGTGTGTGTGTGCAGCGCGGCGGCGGGCGGCGCGGCGCGGCCGACGCGCGCGGTACGTGCTGCGGGCGTGCTCACTGCGCACTGTTAATTACCCTTGCTGGAGCTTATAGGCTTTGTCAACGGAATTATGTTTAAATCATTGAAGTAATATTGTGTTACTACGTACAAGTGTTAAGGTCCGCGGGCTCAAACTTACTTAGACTGTGCCATAAAGAGTTACTCTGTGCCTTCTTCCACGCGCCCCGCTCTGCCGCACAGATTTTGTTCCGGTGTCTATTCTAGTACGTAAATATTACTTCAACGGTTTAAATTCACTTGTCTGAGCCAAGATTGCTGTAAAACTTCATCCGTCTCTACCTCTTATGTTATCGCTTTAGCTATTTCGATCGCAAGTAGAACTGAGATCAATGTGGTCAAAAGTTGGGAACTAGTTAATATCTAAAATAAAAGTTTATAATAGTGTTGGATTCATTAATTTTGTAGATGGATTCCTATTTTGTACAAATGAAGTTGAGGCTAAAGCAAGAAGAACGCGCAGATGGTCTTTAAACAATATACCTAGTACGTGAGGGTAATATTGACATCCGGTTAATATGGTCACTTTCTTATAACTCAAAAACTACAGCCTTGTTTTCAAACGTGGCTCTGTGATACGATAGCTCTTCATCTGTCAATTAAATAATAAAGGGTCAAAAGGGCGATACTTTATCGACGCCATTTTGACAGTTGACATTATAGTAAATATTTTAGTCGATTTTAGTATTGTGTAGTGTAGTTAGTTTCTTTTTAAGTTGTTTTTTCGAAGTGTTCCTGATTATTGCCAAAGGTTGCTTGCTATTTTATACAAATGTATTAGTTATAGTATACGACTTTATATTTTCGTCTCTGTCCTGCTTCTAGTATTGGTTTTATAGTGGAGCAAAGCTTAAGGTGACCATATTACCCTCACGTACCTTAGTGTTTGTGTATTTGTATACATTTCTTTTACAGTTGCAGGGTCGGAAAGCTGCGAGCTGGACAAGATGGCGAACCGCCTTCTAGATTGGTTTTCCGTGCTCATGGAAGAAGCCGGGGGTGTAGCGCCGCCGCTACAAGGTACGAGTGCTGCAGCATTGAGCTTTTTTGTAAATTACTTCTAAAGGACAATGCTAGAATCTCTTTATTGCAACTTAAACCCGCCCAATACTTCTAATTTTCTTTCTAGGTAGCTAAGAATCAAATACAACAACATAATTTAAAAAAGACAATTTTTTTTATAATGCGCGTTTTTATTATTAATTATTTAAATAAAAACTTATTGAGTCTATAAAATACACATTTTCGGCTTTACTTACTGACTGTCGCTTACTTAAATAAAGTATTAATTAATTATCTCTATACGTACCTCTTTCTATTGTCATATAAGAAAAAGGGAGAGAGTAACTTTAAGCATTTCTTTTTAGGGTTGTATCCAAAGGATAACCAACGGGACCTTATTACTAAGCCTCCGTTGTCCGTCCGTCTGTCTATCAGCGGGCTGTATCTTATGATCCGTAATAGGTAGACAGTTGAAATTTTCACAAAATGTGTATTTCTGTTGCCGAATAAAAATAAATTAAAAATTAAAAGGGCTCCTCTACTAGAAACGTGATTTACGATGGTACGAAACTAGGGTTCCCAACCCTCCCGGATTGCCCGGAAGACTCCGGTAACAATGGTTAATCTCCCGACCTCCCGGAGTGCAATCATTTCTCCGGTTTTTCTAAAAATTATACGCATCCGTCACTCGCACTTGTCGCTACTCACTCGTTTTGCGGTCACAACACCCGTGCCCGGCATCTCTGTGTCTGTCACGCATTTTAAAATTAATAGATAATTGAGATTTTCTTTCAAACCACCCCCTAAAGTTAGTAACCCTATACGAAACCCAAGAAACCCTTCATACGTGATTCGGGCTCACACTTGGCCGGCTTTTTTATATGAGAGGGGCAAACGAGCATGCGGCTCACCTGATGGTAAGTGATTACCGCCGCCTACGAACAACTGCAACGCCAGGGACAGGGAATTGCAGATGCGTTGCCGGCCTTTTAAAAGAGTAGGCTCTTTTCTTAAAAGTCCCTAAGTCTTATTGATCCCGTTAATTGACGTGTGATTTATAGACTCGGTAAAAGAATATTATATAACGTATCATAAATTACCTCAGAACATTATTTACCTTTTACCCTCTTTACCTAAGAGTTGAACTAATGTGATCGGTAGTCACGTTCAGCTCCACCGAGTTTGTTATTGTTGCCACGCTTGGGAGGCGCGTTGGCCACCGCAGTTTATATTTTTTCGTTTTTTTTTTTAATAGAATTAGGGTGACAAACGAGCACACAGTCCTCCTGATGGTAAGTGGTTGCTGTGACCCATAGACATCTACATCAATTCTCGTTTGCGAATCAAAATGCAGATGCGTTGTAACGCAAAGACCACGCTCCCAGAGAATACCAGAGTAAAATAGCAGCTTAACGCTGCTGTATTTCGTATGGTGAGTGTAGAGAACCGGAGACCCTTTTTACTGGACAAGAGGCATTCCATCTTAGCCCTCACGGGTGACAACGCATTTGCATTTTGATTTTTTATTGAGGATAGATGTAGATGTCTATGGGTCTCAGTAACCACTTACCATCAGGTGGACTGTGTGCTCGTTTGTCACTCTATCCTATAAAAAAAAGATACTGCTGGCCATATCCCGCTTTGTCTCCTCAGTCGCCTCCTACGACACCCACGGGATGATATGGGGTAGATGGATGTTCTTACACCGCCACTAAACGGTCAAATAAGTAATAAATATATTTTATATTACAACTCTATAACAGGTATGAAAGAAAGCACTGTTAGCACTGTTAGCACTCAAATAGTGGGATTCCTTAAATAGCTAGTTGTCCATTTATTTTGGTGAGGCATAATTAGCATCAATTGTTGTGTGTGAAATGTACAAAAAATATAACTAAGTCTTATTCGGGTTTGTAATCCATAATGTAGCCAAGTTTTATTAAAATTTATTTTAGTAGATTTTGCGCGATTGAGTAACTAACATAAAAAACATGGAAACATTTTTATAAATTTCCTCGTTTATAGGGAGTAATGAAGAGGGAAGGAGGTTAGAATAGGATAAGTCGGATATTAGTAGAATAGGTTTAGTAGCAAGTAGAATGTAATTCTATTTGTGTATTTGCTATTTGTTTATTTTGTATATTATAATTGTTAGTATATCGTGATACTTTCGGTTGTATCATTAGGATTTCCTCGGGACTGCAAGCCTGAAGTGCGGTGGATGTTTTCGCACCTGGACGTGGCTGGTGACGGGCTGTTATCGCATGACGACCTCTATGCACTACGTGAGTATGCAGAATGCAATGTTTTTGATAGGAAACATCTATTGGTACGTTTTGGCAGTAAAACAGACTTATATGCCGTGATTGCAAACGATACGCCGCTTTTTTATGCCGTCATGCGCTTTACGCCACCGTTTTCAACTTCTTATTTGTGCATGTGCGTATATGATACATTCCGTTGCTTCTCTGTGTGAGTTGTTTATTGCGTGTACCTTTATATTGGACTGTAGTATACATGACGTGTTTGCCGCTTGTATATAACTCATTTTGTATTTTTTAACATTTTATTTATTGTTTATTTATATTAATTCATATTTCTTTATTGATTTTTATTCTTTATAAATTGAACATTATAAATTAACCGTAAATTTTTTTTGGTTCTATCCATTATATCGATTATAGTGTTAACCAGGCTGGCTGGTGTAACTTCCATAGTTATACTCATGTGTACGAAACGGAAACGTAAACGTAGTGATTATATATTGTTTGGTGTTAACAACGAAATCTTAATAAATCTCGTTTGTTTTTGTTTTGTTTTTCATATTGATAGCAATAAAATTTGATAATAATTGTAAAAATATTTATTTTCACCATTTAGATTTATATATAATACATGTGAACTGACTTGAAACTGGTTGGAATTTTATGTTACAGTAAAGTGCTAAGTATGATTTACGCATACAACGTATTTCGTACATTAACACTTTCACTGTCCGGTTTTCAGACACAATAGTAAGACAATAGCTATGACCTATATGTAGTGCACGGGACAGCGAAAGGGTTAATGTTGAAGATGGTACATTATGCGATATGGCTAGGTATATAGATGTGTGTAATGTGTGGCAGGTCACGACGAGCGCGAGCGGTGCTTGCGGCCGTTCCTGGCGTCGTGCGGGCGGGCGCGGGGCGGGCGGGGCGAGGGCGGGCGGGTGCTGGGCGGGCGGCGCGCGGGCGGCGGGCTGTCGCGCGGCGCGTGGTGCGGCTGCCTGCGGCGCGCCGCGCGCCCCTGCGCCGCGCTCGCACGCGCGCACCCCAACCCCAGCGCCGGTACAATGCAGCACAACACAATCATTCTTTGTTCCATATGCCGTTACCGTCACCGTTACAATAAGGTGACAAACGAACACGCAGTTCACCTGATAGTTGTGGCCCATACACATCTACATTTATCCTCGATTAAGAATCAAAATGCGGCTGCGGTGTCACCCCTGAGCAATAAGATTGAATACCTCGCTTCCAGTAAAAAAAGTATCCAGTTCTCTACACTTCCCATACACATAAAGCACGCATTAAGCTACTGTTTTACGCCGGTATTCACATTGGTTACCGACTATTCCACTACTGAACATAGATCTCCCCCATAGACTACCTCACAGGAATATTTGCCATAGTTGCCACGCTTTGCAAGTGAGTTGACAACCCCAACTTTTTTTAAATTTCTAGTCGTTATTAGGAAAAGACTGCTGCCATTCTTCTGATTTGTTTTTCGTCAATATATTTCTACTTTCAATAATAATTACTTGCAATCCATATTTGTTCAATATACAGGGTTACTGGGAACTCGACAACTTCCTAGCAGGACGTGATAGAGGAGTCAAAATGCTACAAACTTGACCCCCCATATGTATGGCTGATAATGAACCGGTCTTGAGACATACAGATTTCAAAGATTTTTCAATAATCACCCAAAATTTCGTATTAAATTTTAAATAAAAATAAAACCTTTTTTGTATGCTTTCTTTTAAATTTGTTTTTTTTTTTTGAAGCTGTAACCAAACGAATACAATCACAAAAACTACAAAAACTATTCACAATAAAAAATCATGAGTCTTAATAAATTATTTTTTTTCTTTTTTTACGCTATGTATTTCTTTATTTTAAAAACGTTACCCCTACACTAGGATTTTGTTTTGTATCGTGGAGGCAGTTTACAAACGTAGATTGAACGAAGACAAAAATCCCACCTATATCATAAAATGGTACGTACTTCAAAAAATTACTATAACATGAAACATAAAAAATATGCCCATAACATTCCCATTCAATCAGCTATCCAAAACGGTAATAATCTTAGAGTAATGACATACATACGTATGCATAGAAATAACCTACAGTTATACATAAATTGAGTCAATAAAGAGACAAACCTATTGAAAGATGTTTTTTGTCTATACAAGTCATAATTTTGTTGAGCACGTCATAAATTGCCGTGTTTACAGATTTATTTTTACGAAATCCTTTTTGCTCATTTACGAGTATCTTATTATCTTCAAGATATTTATTTAAACGTTTATATAAGACTTTTTCAAAAACTTTCGCAAATATAGTAATCAAAGCAACAGGGCGATAACATCCAACATCATATCTGTCGGTTTTTTTAAATAATGGATTTACTATTGACCGTTTTAGAGACTTAGGGAATATGCCTTGTTCTATACATATGTATTATATATTATATGACATAAAATACCCGCAATCAATAATGCTGTCTCTTTGACTACTTTAGTAGTTATTCCGTCATACCCTGTGCTTTGGGTATTTTTAAGTGATTTTATAGTTTCATATATTTCAACAGGAGTGACAGGGGCCATAAACATTGACCAAGACTTATTAAATTGTAAACAATAGTTACCTGCGTTCTCTTCATTAACCTGTTTTTTATGCTCCATATTTATAAAGTGATCGTTAAAAGTTTGAGCTATTTCTTTCGGGTTTGTTATTATTCGATTATTATATATAATTTTGTCGACTTGTTTTATAGGGGCATTTGTTCTGTTATTCTTAATAACCTTCCACGTAGCTAAACATTTATTTTTTGCATTTGCTATGTAATAGTTATTTTGTAATCGTTTTGTGAGTTCGATAATTTTCTTTAATTTTTTAGTGTACCATTTAAATTTATCTTTTGAGTCTTTATTAGGATTAAGGCGAAATTTCCATAACTGATTCCTTTTATTGCGGCTACACAACTTAATTCCTTTTGTAATCCATTTCGGTTTTGTTTTTAACGACATTCTTATCTTTATTGTCGGAAAGCATAAATCATAATATAATTTATAAATGTAAAAGAAATAATCAAAGGCGTCATTAGGATTATCTAAAGAAAATAGTTCAGTGAATGTGAAAGAGTTTAGGCAATCTACAAACTTTTTTAAATTTTTTTTTGCAAAAATCGCGTTTGAAAACATACCAATACGTTTTTGCTCAATATGAGCCCCTTGGTTGCTGATTATTTTCCTAACTTCGGTTTTCGTTATTTTAGAAGATATTACAGCGCTAACCTGCTCTGCCGCATTTAATATACGCCTTCGAAGTTCTTCAAGAGAATTCACTGGGGTCACGTAGACGTAGACTAAGTCCTTCATGTGACCCTCATGTTTGTGAAACGCTCCCGAAAACGAAGACAGACGATAGTACTAAGGATACATTTGATGATGGGTCACAAAGAAATTCGATCCTGAGGAAAAGAAATCATCTTTTCACAACGTTTCGTTAACTTTATTCACGCTTCATCATGTTAGTACAGCTCAATGAAACGATAATTTCATTAAAAAAAAATCATGAAAATACTTAAACATAAAACCAGCAGTGGAATTACAATCAGCTGAATAGGGGTCAAAGTACGCGCGACCGCTGAATTCGCGCGGCACGCAGCTAGTGATGGTACCACTATACCTAATAATTTACAACACTTGTCTAAATACCTAACTTATCTACTTAACCTACTATTTTGCCACTGTGCTAGTCTCCACCTAGCCACTTTATTCACAGGTTAAATAAACCAAATACCTGGTTCGATTCCCCGCTAGTAAAAAAATTACTTAAATGAAATGTTAACAAGGTTAGAGTCATGCTTTTTTTTTACCATGGTGTAGGTATGTTTATTATTCTGATGTATTCAGTTATGTACCTATTCAGATGAGTTCAGTATTAAGTTATTTAAAAAAATTAGGTATGAAAAAGCTTAACGATCTAAATCCTACGTGGCCTTATAAGATTCTCCAAGGCATATTAACATGTTGCCGTATTCACGAGCTCTATAAACGTACCTACGCGTTAGGCATTATTAAAACAAAACAAGGAAAACAAAAGGTAACAACAAAAATGTAATAAACAAAACGATTGAACTATCGCTTACGCGCACGTGATAGTCAACACGGAAATGTCTTATAAACTAAAATTAATCAATCCCGCCAAAACAAATGCGCACGAGGCACTCGTAACGACCTTGAAGCACTGAGCATTTCCACAGACCGTTAAACCGTTACGACATTGCCAACGTTTGTTGTATTTATAAGTTTAGTTATCCCTACGACTATTCTTCATATGGAATTTAGAAGTCATGGTTGTCATTTTTAATACAATTACACAATCAATTGTACCCTGACGCAACAAGAAGTTCCTAATTGGGTACTCAGTACTCACACAATTTTAAACACTATTTCATCGTTATCTTTGATTTTGTATAAGAAAATAGAAATTAAATGGTTCTGAATAATTTAATACTTAAAATCAATTACAATTATGATCGAGAGTTAATTAATCTATTAGAATTAATATAAAAAATATTACGTTTACTTTATTTTAATTAACTTTTCGTATTTAATCCGACCAATACTTTGAATTTAAAAAGAGGTACGTCAAAATTATTAAAAATTATTTGCAAGTTTTATAGCGATTGCCGCCTCTAATTCTTATGTCGCCAGCAAACTAAGTTTCTGTGCAACATGGCAGCGTTGCCAACACCAATTAGTGAAATTCCCCGAAAATTCATGTCAAATTCCCCAATTTAAAGACAAAACTTCAACAAATTTCCCACAAACTCCCCTCAATTTTATTTTAAGAAATGAATCAATTTTCAACTAATTTTATAAGATTTACTTTTTCACTAACATTTTATTTTCTTTAAAATTAAAAAATAAAGAAATGAAAAGCATTAAATGATACACAAAAGTTGTAGAAATAAATCTGAAAATTAAATGTGGTGCAATGAAGATAATTAAAAAAAGGGAGTCATTCGACATTCAGAAGTAACCTAACAAAATGTTAAGATAAGTATATAGATTTCTTGAAAAAAGGTTCTGACTTGGCCCTGGCTATCGATTTTCAAAATCCCCGTATTTTCCCCGTATAATAACGATTCTCATAAAATCCTCAACCAACTTTAAAGTCCCCACAATTTTGAGAATTCCCCACATGTTGGCAAAGCTGACATGTGTAAATTCCACAGCGCGAGGCGACACGAGCCAGCCGGGCGGCGGTAGCGCGTGTGTGAAAGGGAAGGGTAGAGTGAGTAGGCATTGTTTTGCATCGAGCAAGGGATAAGAGTTCGGCGTACACGAGAATATTGACCCTATTGTCAGCTGATTTTATTTTAAGTTTTACTGCTGGTCTTATGTTTTAGTATTTTCATGATGTTTTTATGAAATTATCGCTTCATTTAAATGTATTAACATGATGGATCGTGAATAAAGTTAATAAAATATTTGTGAAAAGATGATTCTTTTTTCCTCGGGATCGAATTTCTTTGTGACTCATCATCAAAGGTATCCTTAGTACAGTCGTCTGTCTTCCTTTTTAGGAGCATTTCACAAACACCCGGTATTTTAAGTCACATGATAAAATAATAAAAATAAATAAATATACAAAAACGAGTTTATCGATATCGATCGTTGCTAATATTAAGGATGAAATCAGTATAGGTTAAAACGTCATGTCTTGTGAAATAACGTCACACATAATACTAATACGATAGGGATGTTATTTTTCTAGTAAATCAGAAGATATCGAATGCTCTCTACGCTACGTTCACGCCGCCGAATGTCAACGAAGACACCTGAGGCGAAACGCGCAGTTATTCTTAGGCTGAGTGCATTTGCTCGCATAAGGCTGTTTGTCCACATATATACGATTTGTATCAGCCACTGCTATGTGAAAGCTTAGCCTCACGACTGCCGCCGGGCGTGTTGCAGGCGCGTACGTGCCGGCCTGCGACGCGCGCGGCTTCTACCTGCCGCGGCAGTGCCACGCGGCGCTCGGCGTGTGCTGGTGCGTGGACGCGCACGGCGTGGAGCGGCCCGCCTCGCGCACCAAGGGACAGCCCGCCTGCCCCACCGCCGGTACGTACAGCCAGCAGTGCAGCCGGTACGTGCAGCCGGTACGTACAGCCAGTAGTACTTCTACCTGCCGCGGCAGTGCCACGCGGCGCTCGGCGTGTGCTGGTGCGTGGACGCGCACGGCGTGGAGCGGCCCGCCTCGCGCACCAAGGGACAGCCCGCCTGCCCCACCGCCGGTACGTACAGCCAGCAGTGCAGCCGGTACGTGCAGCCGGTACGTACAGCCAGTAGTACTTCTACCTGCCGCGGCAGTGCCACGCGGCGCTCGGCGTGTGCTGGTGCGTGGACGCGCACGGCGTGGAGCGGCCCGCCTCGCGCACCAAGGGACAGCCCGCCTGCCCCACCGCCGGTACGTACAGCCAGCAGTGCAGCCGGTACGTGCAGCCGGTACGTACAGCCAGTAGTACTTCTACCTGCCGCGGCAGTGCCACGCGGCGCTCGGCGTGTGCTGGTGCGTGGACGCGCACGGCGTGGAGCGGCCCGCCTCGCGCACCAAGGGACAGCCCGCCTGCCCCACCGCCGGTACGTACAGCCAGCAGTGCAGCCGGTACGTGCAGCCGGTACGTACAGCCAGTAGTACTTCTACCTGCCGCGGCAGTGCCACGCGGCGCTCGGCGTGTGCTGGTGCGTGGACGCGCACGGCGTGGAGCGGCCCGCCTCGCGCACCAAGGGACAGCCCGCCTGCCCCACCGCCGGTACGTACAGCCAGCAGTGCAGCCGGTACGTACAGCCAGTAGTACTTCTACCTGCCGCGGCAGTGCCACGCGGCGCTCGGCGTGTGCTGGTGCGTGGACGCGCACGGCGTGGAGCGGCCCGCCTCGCGCACCAAGGGACAGCCCGCCTGCCCCACCGCCGGTACGTACAGCCAGCAGTGCAGCCGGTACGTACAGCCAGTAGTACTTCTACCTGCCGCGGCAGTGCCACGCGGCGCTCGGCGTGTGCTGGTGCGTGGACGCGCACGGCGTGGAGCGGCCCGCCTCGCGCACCAAGGGACAGCCCGCCTGCCCCACCGCCGGTACGTACAGCCAGCAGTGCAGCCGGCACGTACAGCCAGCAGTGCAGCCGGTACGTGCAGCCAGCAGTGCAGCCGGTACGTACAGCCAGTAGTACTTCTACCTGCCGAGCAGTGCCACGCGGCGCTCGGCGTGTGCTGGTGCGTGGACGCGCACGGCGTGGAGCGGCCCGCCTCGCGCACCAAGGGACAGCCCGCCTGCCCCACCGCCGGTACGTACAGCCAGCAGTGCAGCCGGCACGTACAGCCAGCAGTGCAGCCGGTACGTGCAGCCAGCAGTGCAGCCGGTACGTACAGCCAGTAGTACTTCTACCTGCCGAGCAGTGCCACGCGGCGCTCGGCGTGTGCTGGTGCGTGGACGCGCACGGCGTGGAGCGGCCCGCCTCGCGCACCAAGGGACAGCCCGCCTGCCCCACCGCGGGTACGTACAGCCAGCAGTGCAGCCGGCACGTACAGCCAGCAGTGCAGCCGGTACGTACAGCCAGTAGTACTTCTACCTGCCGCGGCAGTGCAGCCGGCACGTACAGCCAGCAGTGCAGCCGGTACGTGAAGCCAGCAGTGCAGCCGGTACGTACAGCCAGTAGTACTTCTACCTGCCGCGGCAGTGCAGCCGGCACGTACAGCCAGCAGTGCAGCCGGTACGTGCAGCCAGCAGTGCAGCCGGTACGTACAGCCAGTAGTACTTCTACCTGCCGCGGCAGTGCCACGCGGCGCTCGGCGTGGGCTGGTGCGTGGACGCGCACGGCGTGGAGCGGCCCGCCTCCCGCACCACGGGACATCCCGCCTGCCCCACCGCCGGTACGTACAGCCAGCAGTGCAGCCGGTACGTACAGCCAGCAGTGCAGCCGGTACGTACAACCAGCAGTGCAGCCGGTACGTACTGCCAGCAGTGCAGCCGGTACGTACAGCCAGCAGTGCAGCCGGTACGTACAACCAGCAGTGCAGCCGGTACGTACAGCCAGCAGTGCAGCCGGTACGTACAACCAGCAGTGCAGCCGGTACGTACAGCCAGCAGTGCAGCCGGTACGTACAGCCAGCAGTGCAGCCGGTACGTACAGCCAGCAGTGCAGCCGGTACGTACAGCCAGCAGTGCAGCCGGTACGTACAGCCAGCAGTGCAGCCGGTACGTACAGCCAGCAGTGCAGCCGGTACGTACAGCCAGCAGTGCAGCCGGTACGTACAGCTAGCAGTGCAGCCGGTACGTACAGCCAGCAGTGCAGCCGGTACGTACAGCCAGCAGTGCAGCCGGTACGTATAGTCAGCAGTACAGCTGTATGTACGTACAAAGTATTACACTGTAGTAGACGAAGTCCTTGGAAAAATTATTTTACACGTAGTCTCTCAGAACGAAGTCTTTACTCAAACTTTACAGTCTCGATTTCGACTATGTCTTAGTCTTATAGTAATAAGTCTATTATCTATGAGTTTAGTTCTTGCGATTCGAAGTCGTGCACACTTTACTTGTGGTCAGTGGCGTAGCGTGCCTTAGATGGGCCCTGTATCAAAATTTGTTGGGGGGCCCCAATAAAGAGTAAAGATTTACATAAAAGGAACAAAAACGCTTGCGCTGAATTAAAATTATTATATATTGGTTATAAGTTATTCATCATCATTATCATTACAGCCCTTCACTAGTCCACTGCTGAACACAGGCCTCCCCCAAGGAGTGCCACAAAGCACGGTCCTGAGCCACCTGCATCCATCGACTCCCTGGTCCATGTCTTACCAGGTCGTCACTCCATCTAATGGGGGGACGCCCCACACTTGGTCCACCGGTACGAGGCTGCCACTCGAGAACCTTTTTTCCCCATCGGTTGTCGGTTCTTGGAGCTATATGGCCGGCCCATTGCCACTTCAGCTTACTAATCCGTTGGGCTATGTCGGTCACTCTGGTTCTGGATATCCTCATTTCTAAGTTTATCACGCAGAGAAACTCCGAGCATAGCCCTCTCCATAGCTCGCTGAGCGACCTTGAGCTTCCTCATACGGCCAGCAGTGAAGGACCACCTCTCACATCCGTAAGTCATCACTGGCAACACGCACTGGTTGTACAATTTCGTTTTAAGGTTTTGAGGAATGTCTGATGAGAAGATGTGTCGTAGTTTCCCGAACGCTGCACAGCCGAGTTGAATCCGTCGATTGACCTCTCGGTCGAAGTTGGACTTACCTAGTCAGACTATTTGTCCCGGGTAAACATACTTGTCAACAACTTCGAGCTTAGTGATCCCAACAACTACCGGCATAGGTGTGACATGGACATTAAACATGATCTTTGTTTTGACCATGTTCATCTTAAGACCTATACGTTGGGAGACACTATTGAAGTCATTGAGCATAGTGCTTAGGTCCTCCAGCGATTATGCCATAAGGATTATATCGTCGGCAAATCGAAGGTGAGTGATGTACTCGCCATGGATGTTAATACCGTATCCTTTCCAGTTCAAAACCTTGAAAACGTCTTCGAATGCAGCGGTGAAGAGTTTCGGTGATATAACGTCACCCTGTCTTACACCTCAATTGGATAGGTTTCGTACTCTGGTTCTGTACTCGGATAGCCATCGTAGCCCTACTGTACAAGCACTTCAGCACTTCGATATACCGACAGTCCACTTGACACCGCTGAAGGGACTTTAGCACCGCTCAAATTTCGAGGGAATCAAAGGCTTTCTCATAGTCCACATACGCCAGACATAGTGGCAAACTGTACTCCTCTGACTTTTGTACAATTTGCCGAAGGGTATGTATGTGCTCTATGGTGCTAAAGCCTTTTCGGAAACCGGCTTGTTCGGGAGGCTGGAAGTCGTCAAGTCTGCGTGCGAGACGATTCGTAATGACCTTCGAAAACAGCACGTAGACGCGGTTCAGAAGGGAAATCGGTCTGCAGTTCTTTAAGAGAGCGTTGTCACCTTTCTTTAAGAATAAGACCACCGCACTTCTACTCCACGCCTCCGGTATAATGCCACCATGGAGGACAGAGTTAAAGGGCTTCTGAAGGACTTCAAGTACCGGTTTTCCACCCGCTTTCAGAAGCTCCGTTGTAATTCCATCTTCGCCTGGGGCCTTACCGTTTTTAAGGTGTTGGAGAGCCATTCTAATCTCGCTCAGACTGACGTCATTGGAATAGTGTCGGATAAGACTCGCTCTTGGATCGTTACACTTGCGTGTGGCTCCAACGATGATGTATACAGCTGCCCATAGATCCTCTCACTCTCACTCAAAATCTCAGGTGTCCCGGAAACGACGCTGCCACACTCGGTCTTCAGATTCGACAGTTGGCTCTTTCCGGCAGACAGATCTCTAGCAAAGACTTTGGAGCCCTGGTTCCGCTCGATCGCTTCTTCAATACGAGCAGTATTAAAGTTGCGTAAGTCCCGCCGCATGCATTTGAAGATCTGTCTGTTCAGTTGCCTGTATGCTGTCAAATCTTTTGAAGACTGCAGCTTCATATCCCGTCTAACAGCCATGATATTAAGAGTGTGATCGGAGAGTTTTTGTGTTCTTCTGCGGCGGGTCTTCCTAAACTTGGACTCTGACCACATGGACAGTTTCCACGAGCTTGTCATTCATATCGCCCACTGCATTGCAATCTTTTGGGCACTGAAAACGGTTTCGTAGCTCGAGCTAAAAGGTTTCGGGACTTTGGATTTGAGCACGAGGGGGACGGCTCGTTGACTTCATTAGACGTGACCTCTCCAACTTAACGTTTAGGTTCAGTGTGCCTCTCACCATTCGGTGATCGCTGCCGGTTTTCACCCTTTCGATCACTGAGACATCACTGAACAGTTGTCGTCTGGTCGTCATAATGAAGTCAATCTCATTTTTGTCGAACCGTCGGGCTCGACCAGATCCACTTTCTGCGGGGCTGCTTCTGGAAGAAAGAGTTAATCATAAAGAGTCCCTCTTTCTCCATGAAGTCGGCCAGCTGCTGACCTCTCGGGTTTCGTTGCCCTATTCCGAATTTCCCTACTTTCAGCTCATCGTTCTCTCTTGTGCCTAGTTTTGCGTTGAAGTCTCCCATTAACACCGTATATTGGGTTTTGGAGGAATGCATGGCTCTAGAAATATCCTCATACATTTCCTCCACCTCGTAATTGGGGTGTGCCGAGATTGGTGCGTAAACCTGTATGACCTTCAGCGAATACCATTTGGTGATTCTGAGTATAAGGTACGCGACCCTCGTCGACACACTCCCAATCTTTACAACGTTGTTAACGAAAGACTTGTGGACGATAAATCCGACACCTCCTTGGGACAAATGGTCGCAACCGCAGTTTTTTATTGTGATATTGCTGTTATCAGGAAGATGCTGCTGCCTATCTCCTGCCTGTTTCCCTTTGTCGCCTTTTACGACACCCACGGGAAGATATGGGGTAGTGGATATTCTTAACCGCC